CTCGTCATGGGGCTCGGACAAGTGCGAAGGATCCGCGACCCTCCCCATTTTGTCATCTGTAGAACAGGAGCTGCATCACCTGCACGGCAGGACACTTGAGACTCGAAATGAGCCCTCAGCCAGGAGACCCTGAGAACCTTGCCTGGGACACATGAGGCCCCAGGAGGGGCCAGGTGACCCCACCTTATGTTTGGTTTCTTGCTGTGGTTTTATGCCCACAGAGGCCGTGTTTCATGCTAGGAGACACACAAGCTTGGGGACCCCCGATTACTGTTAATACTTTGGTTTTTTTCTGGGTCTTCATTGCAACACGTGGGCTTTCCCTGGTTGTGGAGCATGGGCTTAGTTGCCCCGCAGCGTGTGAGATTTAACTCCCCGACAAGGGCTTGAACCTGCATCCCCTGCATTGGAAGGCAGATTCTTAACCACTGAACCATCAGGGAAGTCCCCTTTAGCATGGTTTCTGAACGCTGTTTCTAAATAGAATTTGAGGTATCCTGTATTCACTTAGACCTGAGGATGGACAGAAATTATAAATAACCAGGCATGACGGATCCCACACGTACTTTCAACTTGACATCCACCAGATATCTGAAAAGAGAAATGACAGGAGCCTATTAGATCACCCTGCTTTCTGAGGGGTAAAACTAAGTAGGTGCATTTTAGATGGATCAGACTCAAACTTGAGCTTCAGAAAATTCCATTTAAACGGCTACTCACCTGAAACAAACTGCCTGTTTCTAAGGCCCACTTGATGGTGTGATGATCACTGTCCACTCCGTTACCCGGGACGGTTCTTTTAATCATTTATTTTGCTTCAACGTGGGCTTCCCTTGTGGCTCAGCTGGTAAAGAATCTGCCTGTAATGCAGGAGACCTGGGTTCGACCCCTGGGTTGGGAGGATCCCCTGGAGAAAGGAAAGGCTACCCACTCCAGTATTCCGGGCTGGAGAATTCACAAAGAGTCACAAAGAGTCGGACACAACTGAGCAACTTTCACTTTTGCTTAACGAGTTCCATAAAGGATTTGGTGCCACTCACAAGGTTATAACACAAATTAATTTAAAAAACGAAGTATGGCAGAAGGGAACTAGGAGCAGGAAAGTAAGTGATGTGAAGCAGATTGAAGTAGGTGCCCAGAGCATAAGGCAAGGTCTACACACAAGCTCGGACCCATGCCCAGACAGGGTTTCTGAGCTTCTGTGCCATCAACTGAGTGATGTAAGTGAAGAAGAGTCACAGGATCCCAGAGGATTAAAAATTAATAATAAAATTGAAAGAGCAATTGCCCAAGAGATGCAAAAAACTATTCCTGACACTAAAATTAAAGAGGGATCTTTTCCATAAGTCATCCTAGGAATAACATTTTTCACTCCACCCATAGAAGGTTTCCACCAGCCTCAGGACAGGGCATGGAGTGTGGGAGCAGCCCCACTTGAGACCCGGGTGCCCTCCAGACCCCTGGACCACATTCAGCTCACCAGACAAGAAATATTTTTGACTTGATTTTTATTTCCAAAATGAAAAATGTATTTTAAGAGTTAGTGTAACCAAAAAGTTGTTTCATTGTATTAGGAGAAAAATCATGCAAGGATTTTTTTACATTTCTTATTGGCATACATCTATTTCTATTTTAAAGCAGTAATGAAGAATTTAAAAGAAAAAAAAAAAGTTACTCACCTGAGAATTCCAAGCTAGCTTTGAGTATATGTTATATCTACAGAGAGGTGTAAACAGCAGAACCATAAGGCAAGTGTTGTGCTAGGAAATGGAGAAGTTGGGTATTTAATATTTTTAGTTTAAATTTTGATTTCAACATCAAGATTATGCTGTAACAATTTAAAGCCTTACTTTAGGTTTAATTTGGTATCATTATCATTTTCATTTTCTGTAACACAACTCAAACTTCTTTGAATAAGAGTAACATAAATCTCCATGTATTTCAGTTGCTAAATATGTGAAGATCACAAGGTGATTCTCATATTCTGTAATACAGAAAAAATAGGAAGTATGACTTAGTAATTTTCTCTTTATTCTCTCAGTTTCTCTCAACTCCCAGATGTCAAAAACAAGTGACACTTCACTGTGAATCACCCTTTCTTTTTAGATACACACACACACAACACTGAAATTATTTTTATTTAGTATTGTTCATTTTAGTTGCTAAGGGAGACAGACTAAAGTTATTCCTCATATTTACTTCCCAGTTGTCTTTGCAAATAAAGCAGGATTCTAGCCAGGCTCTGGACAAATGTTTGCTTACAGCTCAAGAAGCTGCAGTGGTTCATGATGTCACAGAATTGTTTCTTTACTGGTTTGTATATTTTTATTTGTGCTTGTGGTATTGTGGCTATACCCCTGAAGGAGGGCATGGCAACCCACTCCAGTATTCTTGCCTGGAGAATCCCATGGACAGAGGAGCTTGGTGGGCTATGGTCTATGGGGTCGCAAAGAGTCGGACACAACTGAATCAACTTAGCAAAGTCTCGGACACAACTGAATCAACTTAGCACGCACGCACATTGTGGCTATGATTTCTAAACCTTTATCTTTTAGAAATAATGTTGAAATAAAACAATGGTGTAAGAGAGCTGCTATAAAATAATAAAGGTGGGAGAGAAGGCCTGAGATACAGATAAAGAGAGCGGCCACACGATGAGTGTGGAATCTGCCCATGGGTAGTGAGTGCTCGGAGGCAGTCTCTCTGCTTCTGTGTGACGTTTTCCCTGATGAAAAGGTAAATAAGTCACAGACACAGCCACCCTGGAATTTTCCACAAAGGTCTGAGAACTCCTTAAAGAGTAAATGTGGAGACTCCTGGGCACCTGGCCTTGGCCTTGCCTAAGGTCTTGTTCCCCAAGGAGGAAGATGAAGCAGATTGAAATTGCCCCTGTCTTCTTGGTGTCGTCCACAGCGTCTGCTGTAAGGTCACAGCAACCAGGTTCCTACCTCTCTGCTGTCGTCAGCATCACCCCAAGAACCGTGCATTTTGTTCCTTGGGCCGAGCACCCCTTTGTGACTCTGTCTCCAAGGCTTCTGCTCAGACTATTAAAGAAAAACTTCACTTACATCACTGAGTTGATGGCACAGAAGCTCAGAAACCCTGTCTGGGCACAGGTCCGAGCTTGTGTGTAGACCTTGCCTAATGTCTGGGCACCTACTTCAGTGTGCTTCACATCACTCGCTTTCCTGCTCCTAGTTCTCTTCTGCCATACTTTGTTTTTATAATTAATCCTGCTTTTAATGCTGATCCTTGTTAAAGACAGGAAGGGACTTTGTTCCAGGACCACCGCACGAGAGGTTGCAGTGGGGGAAAGGGGGCACTCAAATTCCAGCATCACCGAGACAGTGGCATCACTGCCTGCCAGGACTGGCAGATGATAGCACAAGAGAGCATTTCTCTTTAAGTGTGTGTGTGTGTGTGTGTGTGTGTGTGTGTGTGTGTGTGTGTGTGTTTGTCCTTGTTTGGCTCTTACAAAGAAGTTTTTAAGGAAGCCCACAGACAGACCCCTTCTCTGGAGAGATGGGAGCAGCCCTGGAAGGTTCCACAAGGAAGCATCAGTTCAGAGGGCAGGATAAAAGCCGAGGGTCCAGCTCCTCTCCTTTGCATGGACGCTATCCACTCCTGTCCCCTGTGGACAGTATGGACTTGTTGATGCCAACAGGCAGGCAGACATGATCGACACAGAGACTCATGGCGTAAGCTTAAACATTGTTCCTGATATTAGGAGTCAGAATGAGACATACTGGAATCTGGTGATGCTTGCACACAGGGCCCCCACTTCCCTTCCTGGGTTCTGGACCTAATTTGTACCTGTAATTCTGTGTTTCCCTTTTTGTAGTGGGCCTAAAACTTGTAAAAGTGTCAGGCCCCTCAGAACTGGGATCCACCCTTGTATGGAACTGTGAATCTCTAAAAAATGTGCCAACTCAGGTTTGTTTGTTTGTTTGTTTTCTGCAAAGAACCTGTGCTGATTCTTAGGGAGAGTGGCCTCGGCTGCTTCCTGGAGGGTTTGCCCCAGACCCTCCCCTGCAGATCGAAGGTGGAAGTCAGTGCTTCCTGGCGTGGGAAGGGATATAAATATTCTAACAAAGAGTTTCTTGAACATTTACATAAGTTCTTTTATATTTAGCTGCTAATGTATAGTCATTTGCTGCCATAGCGCTGCTCATTTAAAATGGGTAATTTTGGAAATACAGGTTCACAAAGTCACCTTTACCCAGGCGGCCAGCTTCCCGCTTCAGAGGCTGCTGGTGCCATAATGGATGGGCTTGAATGAAAATTCCCGGTTCATGCTTACCTCAGAGTTTCTTAAAAGACCAGAAGACAATAAATCACTATCCCCAAAGATTGTAATTTTAAAAGTTTCTTTCTCATGTACCTAATGCTTCTGGGCAGAACATAACTCACCTGGTCAGTCATCTCTGTTCATGATCGTGGCTTCATTCTCACCTAGAAAATTAAAAGTGAAAGTGTTGGTCACTCAGTCGTGTCTGACTCTTTGCAACCCCATAGACTGTAGCTCACCAGGCTCCTCTGTCCATGAAATTCTCCAGGCAAGAATACTGGAGTGGGTTGCCATTTCCTTCTCTAGGGGAACCTCCCAACCCAGGGATCAAATCCAGAGCTCCTGCATTACAGGCAGATTCTTTACCATTTGAGCCACCAGGGAAGCAGCTGAAACAGACCTTGCCATTATAACAAGTGTGTTTTTTCATGGCTGAAGTGGCCACTCTGCTAGTCAAGTCACTGAGTCTTAAGAACTGTAGACTCTTAGTGGTATGGATAGTTGATGAATGTCATAAATTTTGGACTTGTCACTTCTGCTTTGGGAACTCTCTGGGACTGTGAGAGTGTTTGACGTAGATTGAGGAATGAGGCCTTCCACGCTGTGCGGAGCCGACCTACCCTGCAGATGGTTTTGGCATTTTCTTTTTCCTTTTAACTTTTGGAAGATGGGTAGCACATGTTTTCTTACCCATAACTTCTTCAAATTTCAGGAATTCTTCGATCATGTGAAGAAGCTCTGGGATGATGAAGGCGTGAAGGCCTGCTTCGAACGGTCCAATGAGTACCAGCTCATCGACTGCGCCCAATAGTGAGTCTGCCCACGAGGCCTGGCCTGGGTTGGGCGCTCCCACCGCACTGCCCCTTGGAGTCCAGCTTTCCCACCCCGTGCAGCAAGTGGCATCACCTGGATATGTGATGACCCAGACTGTCAGGTCATTCTGGCTGCTGCTCAGAGGGTGGAACGGAGGCAACAGAGATCCGTGGGTGCTTCAGGGCAGGTGGTGGGCTTAGAGGTGAGCCTTGGTCCATGGGGACAGAGCCAGGCAGCAGATCAGATGAGAGAGGTGGAGAAAAGAGGGGGTCAGGATGACCACAGGTGCGTCATGATGCTATTATTCAGGTGGAGACCTGGGAGATGTCGTTAGTGGAGGACAGGATGCCATCCGGCTCCAGTTTGGAGAAGCCAGGCTGAGATACCAGAGCAGAGACAGAGATGGAGCAAGTGGCTGGATGTAGGAGCTGGTGTTAGATGAGAAGAAGCAACCCAGGTGTGGACGGTGCCTGCCCACTGATGACTGTAGAGCCTGGACAAGATGAGCAAGTATAGACAGAGGAGAGGTGCTAAGCAATGATGTTCAGTCTGCAGAGGATGGAGGAGTGGGAAGAGAGGGGATCCTCCCAGGAGGCAGGCAGTCCTCGAGGCCAAGACAGAGAGACAGATGGTGCTGATGGGACCTTACTTCACCTCATCCCCCTTGTGCCAGGGAGCCAACCACACCCCCTCAGCCACTGGCAGGTGGCAAGCTGCCCCAATTCAGGGAGCCTCTGGGGCTGTCCAGCAGGGCCAAGTTAGCCAGAGGTGCCCACACACCTGCCCCAGGTGCCCTGAATGACCACCGACAGCATTAATGATCTTCCCTTTTGTACGAGAAAGTCTATTTACTGATAAGGATCTATAGTTAACTAGTTGTGCATGCTCAGTCGCCTCTGACTCTTTGCTAATTAACTAGAGCAGTACTTAAAACTTCTCTTTTCCTGCCATGCTTAACAGTTCCTTCAAGACTTGCCTTGAATCCACATCACCTTGTAAATAGACCATAGGCTCTTGGTTCACATTTGTGACTGCTTTCCTGTGCTCACTTATTCCACAGCCGGATTTCGAAATCCAGAGAGCTGGGGGGTTTATGTGGGTGTGGGTGTGGTGTGGGGGACAGTTCTGATGGAGCTGAACACAACCTGAGAGGGTCGTGGGGGCCACCCCTTCCAGAGGGGCCCTCATCTCCCCTCTGAGACCCTCTCACGCTCTTTTCTAAGGCCATGTCACCATCACTTAAAAACCACAGTGGAATTATATGTTAAATCACAATGTTGTAGAGATGGGAATGTCATATTAAGAAAATGCCAGCAGCTGGAATTCCCAGCACAGCTCAAAATAACATTAAAACCTATATAAGTAAAAAAAAAAAAAAACCTATATAAGTTTGCATCTGAGGTTCATGGGGGTATGTCTGATCGCCATTTCCAGCATTTCTTGAGTGAAGTCTCCTGGGCCTTCAGCGCCCTTCAGTATCCCTTTAGGAATTTCTCTTTCTTATGAAAAGAGCCCATCACCGTAGTGATAGAATTAATGATTTACTTTAAAATAGAATATGCAAGGCACATATAACAAAAAGAAGCAGCCTGAGCTTTGCTGGCAGGCAGTCAGGATCCAGATGTTCTCTTGGGCAGGGTGCTTCATGGAAATAAAGTCACGGACTGTGTTCTTGTGCAGTTGTTGTAGGATTGACTAAGCAGAGACCCAAACACCTCAGAGCATGCCTGGCACCTGGGGGCCCTTGCTGAGCTCCTGCTACCGTGTCTCCATGTGGGACAGAGGTTCAGAGGGTCCCCTGAGGGGCCTGAGATCAGCACTCCCACCCGGAAGGACCCCAGCCACGATCTGCTATTTCCTTCAGTTCTCTCCTTTCAAATTAGGGAGAGCAAGACTGAGACCCAAGGTGAAGACTACAGGCTTGTCAGACATCAACACCGCGACTCCTGTTCTGGACTCTGCCCCCCACCACCCCCCAAACATCACTATCTGGGTTAATCCTAACATCCCCAGCTTGGCTTCCTTAATCCATTTTAATAAGCATGGGACTCAAGTGGGATCAGCAACTGTTGTCTCTCTTTTTTTTTTTTTTCCTTTTCTTTTTATTTATTTATTTATTCATTTATTTTTATTAGTTGGAGGCTAATTACTTTACAACATTGCAGTGGTTTTTGTCATACATTGAAATGAATTAGCCATGGATTTACATGTATTCCCCATCCCGGTCCCCCCTCCCACATCCCTCTCCACCCGATCCCTCTAGGTCTTCCCAGTGCACCAGGCCCAAGCACTTCTCTCATGCATCCAACCTGGGCTGGATCACAATCTTGTTTTCCCTCTGCACTCGGATTTTGCGGCTGGGGCCAAGGGGTTTCAAGAACAAGTAACATTTCATAACACTCGTTAGATGCACGCGTGGTACCCAATGTGTTTATGTTGCCAAATGACATGTTGAAGGAAAGTAGCTGCTTCTACCTCCCATCACCGTGGTTCATGGAAGAAAGGACATTCCAGCGTCCAGCTGGGAATGTCCTGGGACCGGGACACTCAAGCCCACCTGCCCAACCCCCAGGTTTCCAGCTGCTTGGAGAATGTGTCTTGTTCCTCCTTGGAGGCTCAATTCCTGGGAGGGTGTCTTTGCATGAAGTCAGGGCTGTTTGAAATCAGGAGCCCAGGGCCCAGCATGGGGTTGGTGGGGAGCTGAGCTTTGCCCTGGCAGAGTCCAGGGTTCTGAGGCATCTTCTTTTCCCTTCTCTTCTGAATTCTCGAGAAAAGATCTGCTGACATCTTGGCGTGACTCCAAGTCACTACGTTATCTGTTCAGCAGTCTTGTATTTTGAACTCAGATGCTAACTAAGAAGGGATTCATTTTAAGTCATTTCTTCCATGGCAGAAACCATGGGAATATTTGAAAGGAGGAGATGCTTCCTGGGGACCTGAACTTCCAGTGAAGAATCCAAGAATGGTCTCACCACAGTTCCTCAGAAACTTAAAACATGGAGGAACCCAGCATTTCTCTCTCGGGTACACCCAGGAGATTTAAAAACATACGTCCACACAAAAACTGTGCCCAAATGTTCACAGCAGCATCATCCACAGTAGCCAAAAGCACAGACAACCCACATGTGCATGAAAGGATGAAGGGATAAACAGACTTGGTCCAGCCACACACAGGGATCTTATTTGGCCATAAAATCAAATGAAGCTCTGACGCATGTTATAGCGTGAGTGAACTTGAAGACATGAGGCTCAGTGAAAGAACCCTGGCACAAGGGCTACATGCCCTATGACTCCATTTGTATGAAATGGCCAGAACAGGCAAACTCATAGACACAGAAAGCACATTAGTGGTTGCTGGCAGCTGGGGAGGGGAAATTGAGAGTGGTTCGAAATGGGTGGGCCCTGCACCATCTGACAGAGGACCCGGCTGGAGCAGCCTGGGAATAAGCATATTATGAGCTTTAAGGGTTGGCCTGTCAGTAAAAATGAGTGTCTTTGGAGTATCAAGCAAGCTGAGCGAATTAGCAGAGATTCTGTTTTATAAGAGGTCCCCGGTGCCCACTGTGAAAATTAAAAACAATCTCGACTGCATTATCCCCAAAAATGCACTTCCTCTAAGTGCTAATAATAAGTGATTAGGTAGCCATGGAAACAGCTATTTTGGGAGAAAGGAAATCAAAGAAAATTGGATTTCAGAACAGGTTTATAAAGTCAGACTTCGCTTAATCTAACTTGAAACTCTGCAGTGTACATAGGGTCTCATGCTTTGCACTGTTGTGTTTACATGATACCTTTCAGACACGTCCATGTACATAATTGGTTTTAGAATACTCTGGAAGAAAGATGCCCCCCAAAGAAAAAAGAATAGTGGGAAAGGTGAAGTGATTCACAGCTGTGTTAGCGTTAGTTGCTCAGTCATATCTGACTCTCTGCAACCCCGTGGACTGTACTGTCAAGCTCCTCTGTCCATGGGATTCTCCAGGCAAGAATACTGGAGTGGGTTGCCATTTCCTTCTCCAGGGGATCTTCCCCACCCAGGAATCAAATCCTGGTCTCCCATATTACAGGCAGATTCCTTACCATCTGAGCCACCTTCTAGAAACGTCTCATGTGAAGAAAGAGTGCTACTTTAGGGAGAGAAAATCTTAGCTAAGCTGTTGACGAGGGTAACATCCTAGCCCCTCTCAGTCAAATTTAACTAAGCAAAGCATCACTGGGGTTCAGGGTGTGCTGTGTGCAGAGCATGTTCTGGGATCCACAGCGGGGAAAGGAACAAGGCTGTTCTCTGCCTCCATGTGGTTCATGATATTATAGGTCCCCAGACCCGTGCCAGGAGGTCTGCTGTGTATGCTGTGTGGAGTGGAGAGTGCAGCACGGAGGGGCTCCTGGAGAAGGTTCTGGAGGAGCAGTTTGAGGAGGGGGCAGGATCTCAGCAGAAGGAGATGTACGGGGTGGAAGCCCACACAGCAGGGACAGTGTCCACAGAGATGATTCATCCAAAGTGAGAAGTGACCACCCCTCCTCATCCACACTGACAAGTGACCACCCCTTCCCATCCACACTGACAAATGACACAGTGGTGTTCAGCCTTCAAGCTCAGTCTGACTTGGCTATGTGTGGAGAGAAAGAAGAGGGTGGGGACCGTGTCTACACATGCCTTTCTGCCCAGGTGTTGGAGCAAGAGTGATATAGCCAGAGATGTGTTTTAGGAAAATGCACGTGCCAGCACCACCATGGCCAACTATCACAGGGGGCCCAGAGGGGTGGTGAGCCTCTGGATTAAAACTATCTCAAACAGTTACTCTCAGAATCCATTTTCAGCTGAGCTCCTTAGGGCAGGTTGGGCCTTTTTATGCTGTCCTTGCTGTACCAAAGGACTCTTCCTAAAAGAAAAAAACCGCAGCACCAGCTGCAGCCACCTCCAAGCCTACACTTCTGAAGGGTATGATACATGGTGACAGTTTTGATATGTGCCAATGGGTGTGGATCCCAGCACT